TCGATTTATTTTTCTTTTTAATGTATGAAAGAAAGACATTGATAAAAGGTATATTGATGATATCAACTCGTCTAATTGCTATCTATAATCATATTTTCTATTCCAGATATAATCTTAACATATTGAACGCGATTTGATTCTACGGGGTAGCAAATAATATTTTTCCAAGGGTACAGGTCCAAATACAAATGATAAAACATTGAATTTTATACCAAACGAAAACTCGTCGAAAACGGAATTTAGCAGTATAACTAGCAGCTCATAGAATGACTATGTGCTAAAGAATTATCAAAAGTTTCAAAATTTCAGACATATAATTGAGAATTTACATGAATAGTCAACTAGCGCCGTCATTTATTTATCAAATTTAAAAGATCTTTTTATCAAAATGATCGGCAAAGAGTGTTCGACAAAGTCTGACAGAGGAAAATTTTTTCTAAGAACCTTTTGTTTTCATAGCCGACTAACCACTGTACAATATAGTGAGACCCATCGGTGGGTCTCATCGGGTTGAATGTGTTAATTCGACCAATAAAAAACAAAAGATATTGTCAATCAGTCCATGAACCGAATAAGATAATTCTCTTATTATATATAGATTGACCGCTCAAATCGGACGATTTTCGGTAGAAATAAAAACAGGTGCAAGTAACTTTGTTTTGAGATCAATTTGAATGCACTACACCGTACAGTAGAATATGATCGTTGGATCTGTATAGTATTTCGATCGAAACAGTTTTTAATGACTTAGTTTTGTGTGTTTTATAAAGTGCGTTATTTACTTCTCTGATAGCATTTGTTTTTGACCAATATCAATTTTCATAAGAACTAGCTGTTCAATAGAAATGCATAGATGAGATTTCTCTTATTGAAATACCTCATTCAATATTTTACAATAATTTTGAGTTGAAACTGTTCTAAGATACAAACTAAGAATTGCAGCATTTATCGTTATTTCACTTTTATACAAAAATTACTAATAATTGTTCAATCTTAGATCAGAAGGAAAATCTGAACACATATTCGGGGAGATTACATTAGACAGAAAATTACTAAGGTAATAATATAATCAACAGAGGATAATAAATCTTCCGATGGTCTCTATAGAGTATTTTAGTCAGCATAGGAGCGGCGCTCCATCGAAGACCAGATTAACTCTTTCGAAATTTGTCGTACGTGCTCTGTCTGCGTTCTCAAAAATAGGTGTTCGCCAAGAGGGAACAAGCGAAAATTCCGTACTTCAGTGTTATATAAAATGAACTCAAACTAATATATTTTTCATACACACATTAGTAGTAGATTTGAATTAGATAAAAAATTCTAGAAGATAAGTTTGATAAAGCCCTGAAGTAAATTGTTTGTTGAAAAGAACTTGAATTTTATTTTTTTTTCTAGATTAGTTTTATTACAAGGAATAATCATTATGGGTAGTAGATTATCTGCTGTAATAGATGCAATATATAATTCAAAACGACGAGAATTTCTTGGTAGAGATGGAGCTCGATGGGGTAAATTAAAATATTAATTTAGATCTATATATTTATTGATCTTTTTTTTTTGTTAGGAAAATTAGGAATTTTTTATTTTTTTTTCTATCTTGGTTTGGGTGGATTTTTCTGTACAATGTTAGCTGTATTTATGGTATTATCACCACGAGATCGTCCACGTTATCATGCAGAATCATCATGTATGCGTACGCGTACAATTCCTCTTTCACCTGGTTTGTATTATTAA